GTACATAAGTTTTGTAAAATGATACATGTAATACATGTACATGTTTTACATATATTAGTAGTTCTAAGTTGCAAGGCTCCTAAGGACTCCTAAGGGATGAATAATATATTATTATGATACGTGATTTATGCAGCTATGCAGAATTTGTAAATTATATATGATAATTTATGATATATGATATATTTGTGAAGTGTATGGTATGGCGGCTGTACTAGCTGTACAGTAACTTGTTGTCAGCTTGACTATCCTTTAGGACGTTGTGGTGGAAGCTGGAGCTGATCTATGTGATCATGGTGTTGCCGGTGTTTCAGTTTCTGAAAAGTCTGAAGAGCAGGTGGCAGAGTCTGCGCAGTCTCAGGCAGAGCCAGCACAGGATGCATGTGAGTTGGATCGACAATTTTTAGCCTACATCGACAACATTGACAAGATACCGAGCTTTGATCCACCGAAACCGTCTGACATTCCACTGGAGACTGTGTGTGATCTTGCTGAAGCAAACAGTAGCTTAGCTTGTTTGATTGACAGTGCAACACAACAAAAATATGTTAGCCTGGTAGCCTTAGCCTTTTCAATAATATTAGTTTGATATTCAACAATTCACTAACACGGCTGAGTCAGTGAATATATTTTATAAATGTATATGAACAAATAAACACCACATTGTGGACCATGTAAGTAGTAAGTGGCAAGTGGCATAGTTTCAGACTCAGACAATCTCAGACTCTCAGTCGCTCAGGATGGCCTTCCTTTATTTGTCACAAGTATGCTACTACAACTTCCTCTCACAGTGCTTGCAACTCGGTGCTACTGGATCAGTCTGATCAGTCTGATTCATGTGCCTCGCACTGTTCAACAGCAGCTGGTTTGATGGGGTTGAGTGAAAATGAGCTTGCTTCGCTGGGTGGGCTAGTGAAGCGTATGGGCATTTCTTCGGTGAGCACAGCATACAGTGGCATTGACTCGCCAATGACTGCATGGCTGCAGATATTGGCAGCCCTGGAACATGATTTTGGGTTTTGTGATGTACACAAACCCAAACATTTGTTCTCGATCGAGTGGAACAAAAGTTGCCAGATTGAGTTGCAACTACATCCATGTGATGCGTATTGTTTGTTTGGGGACATTGCAGACTTCCTACACCCTTTGCTTCGAAACCAGCTGGCTGAGTTGCAAGAGAAGAACAAACTCAGCACTGTCCTCCTGCCGGTTGTCAAAGATTCTCCGCACAAAGCAATTGTCATGAGTTTTGGTTGCAAGCATTGCAACATTACAAGAAGACTGTTCTTTGTTAGATCAACTCCGACTAACCCAAACTATATAACCACGACTAAAGCCGCAACTTAGAATGCTTAGTAGTATAGACTGTAGACTGACATCATCAGAACCAACTAACTATATAATCATCATCATCATAGATATTATAATGATGACTGATATGACAATCCGAATTGATTTAAGCTAATTCAATCATAAGACTCGACTCATGCTCATGCTCATGCTTATAATTATTAATTACCGCCGCCTGATTACCATTGACGCTAACATTGACTAACTGGCACCTGACACCAACACCAACTGGCTGAAACTTGTGTACGCATTGCGCAGTGGAGACGGATACAACTCAGCTGGACACAGGGACACTGACCGGACACTGACATGACGTTGTCACTGTGTGCCCGTGCGATTGTGCTGAGGAATGCTACTTGCTGCAAGCATGGGCACCGATGCAGTGTGGAGGACAAAGTTGCAGATGTACATTGCGCTGGGACTGTCTGCTGTGGTTTCTCAGCCATTGGAGATCAGCAAGGCGAATCTGCTATGTCGCACGCTCACCTGATTGTTTGGGCAGGTCAACGTGCTTGCTTGCAAGAACCAATCATAATCCAGGAGAATGTGACAAATTTCCCGGCACACGTCTTGCAAGGCATGCTCCCGCAGTATGAGTGGACCTCCGCTGTCCTTTGCCCAACGCATTACGGTTGGCCAGTGCGAAGGGAACGCCAAATCATGATGCAACTTGTTTTGTTCAAGGGCTGCGGCTGCCGGATGCGGGTGAGGGCTGGCATGGCGGTCATAATGATTTATAACTTATACTTATAGTCCATAGTGACCATAGTGTGTGTCTTGTGCCACAGCCTTGGTCACCTCGTTGGTTATAGTTTTTTTTTGGAGTTGTGATATGCAATATGGTCTAACATGATATGATATAGTATAACATTAGTCACATAATTGATTGTTTTTGGCAAAGTGAAACCATTGTGTAACTCAAGACTTAACTTTCGATTCATTTTTGAATTTTAGAAGCTCATAACATCAAATACCTTAGACTTAGACTTAGGCCCTTTGTAGGTTAGGTTGTCAAGTTGTTGTGATGTGTGTTCCTTTTGTCGCAATTGCCAACCACTGACTCACTGCCAATCGCTGAGTGGACGGCACAAGACCAAGACTCTGGGATTTCGCTCGCTTCTGACATCTTTCACTTCGCTTTTTGCACGTGGTCTCGGTGACGAAGCAAGCTGGGAGATGTTCTTTTGGGAGAATCATGGCAGCATTTCGTGAAAAGCTTGATGGGTGGGTGTGGGTGAGTCAGGTTCATGGTGTATGCAGTAGTTACATTACTGACTTTACGAGACTGTTGGTGATTCGGTGGGATTGATTATTGATTGTTAATAAAATGATGAATGAATGATTGATGAATGGTGGATTGACTGTTGATGAATGATAGATTGTTTTGTTTGATATATCATTGAATCATTGACCATAATGACGATGAGATGATGATGATGATGATGATGATGATGATCATCATCATCATGACTGAAACAGTTGAGACAAATGGTTTCGTTACTTAACTCAGTTATATTGTTACACTAAGTCAACATTATGCACTTGAACCGGGCCTCGGACTGAACTGAGGAACGATGAAGGCAAACTGAACGCCGAGCTTGGTTGGGCTGCCAAACGTCCCTGCAGCCGCTGGCGACAACAACATGATGGCGATGATGATAATGATTCTGATGATGATAAGTCCCATCCGCTTCAACCTGTGTTGACAAGCCCTTCTGCATTCGAAGATGTGCTGACCCAGAATGAATTATTGTTTTTGACCAGCTACGAGCAGAGCACTCCTCAGGGCATCTATAGCCTCAACCAAAATCCGGACGTCACCAACATGTGCAGCAATTCTAAGGCAGGCAATTTGACCTGATGTCAATTATATAGGCTAATCTTGTTACGGAGTCCGGAGTCATAGCGAGTCCTAGCATTTTGTTGTGATGAGTTGTGAGTTGTGATGTGTTTGACACCCATGTTGCCGATGTTCAAGCAGTCCTAGCGTAGTGGCATAACACAGAACAAGCAGTAGCAGTGTAGCACATGATACAAAGACTTTCCTTCCCTTCCCTTGAGGTCATGCCGACTTTGGTATCTTCAGCATGTCTTTGGTTTTCCGGAGTGCATCGCCGCTGGCTGACACCGGATGAGGCTCTCATGGTTCAGGGTTTTCCAGTTCGTGCTCACTGGTCTTATGGCCAACAGTGCTGTTCATTTGCAACCAGGCATGCCTTTGAAACTGGTGCACCGTCGGCGCACACCATTGATGAAGAATCCCTTTCTTTGCTGAAGAGTTCACCCGGACGACAGCCTGTGTTCAAGATGGCAGGCAACAGCATGCACACAAATGTTTCTGGAGTTTCGATTTTGTTTGCTCTGACACAAGTCCTGGTTGATTCAGATCTTTTGAAACTCCTGAGTGGGTTCCAGCAGATGGAACGTAATCCACGTATCATCAAAAAGCATTGTTTGTAGCTTTGTAGCTGTAGCTTGCCATCACTGCCATTGGTCTATCGAGTCTATCGTCTGCAGTCTACCGGCCATTAGTCCATTAGTCTAATGAGTCTAGCGATTCATTGCTTTGCGGGGTACTGTGAACCACTATCCACCTGTAACTGTAATAATATATCACGAACTATAATTTCAAACGCAACTCTACTCTACTTACATCAGTGCATGTTTAGATTGCGCCAGCAACTTCTATTTGTTCAGTAGTGGTGACTAGTGACTATTGGCTACTGGCCACTGGTTGTTTGGCAAGCTTTAGCAGGATAGCATTCAACATCTGGCAGCGTGGGCCTGTGGGCTGTCAGTCCGTCACAACAATGGGGCAATCGTGACACTGACAATCCAAATGCAGACGTTTGACGTTTACATGTAAAACATGGTTGACAAACAAAACTCATTACGATTCATTGATTCATTGATCATCATACTTAATCGATTCATCGATTCCTCCTGTGTATGTATACACACATATACAAATATATGATTCGAGCTGCAGCTGCCTACGGTCGCGGACCTACACCTATGTACAGGCAACGAGAGAGATCTCAGAGAGGTAGAGAGACACATTGCGAGAAAACACAGCGTACTAGTGCGACGCAACCTGTTGCTGTTGGTTCTTTGTTACTTTGTTGAGTGAAGTTTGGTGTGACGGTGTTAGTTGACTCTGTTGACTCTTGACACAGCTGCACCCCTCAACTGGCCCCTCAACATGAATGATACTTGCGACAACTAGTAGGCAACCAAGGGCATTCAGTCTCCGGCCATCGCTAGTAGGTCCTAGTAGGTTGTAATCTCTAGGTTAGAGGCCATTTCATTTTAGGTTGGCGGCCATCTCTAGCAGGTTGGAGGCTATCTCTAGGTTGGAGGCCATCATTGTATCACTAGTAGGCCCTAGTAGGTTGGAAACATTGTGTTGCATCAGTTGCAGGCTGCAGGTTGCATTATATGATTCAGGTTTGCCGTCAGGTTGCACAGTCTTGGCAGTCTTGCTGCGCACTGCTTGATCGTGTGATCATGTTACATTTTACATGTTCACTGGTGCAATGATGCAGTGCTTTGAGAGTTCAAGGAACGTTTTCTCTTAGACTCTTAGAGTCCCACACACTTCGAACATTGCATGATGGATCCGACGCCAGCGACAGCGGCAGAGCAGACTGCGCCTTCAGGTGCAGGCAATGCTCCAGCTGTGCTGAAAGTGGATCCTGCCAGCCAGTATCGCAAGAACGCTACACTCAGCGAGATTTTTGGGCCACATGTTCAACCCGGACGTGAACTGTTGGATGTCATCACCAAGACATATAAGGCGGAGCGGGTAAGAGATACCAAAACAAAACACACTCAGGTGATCTATGTTGATTTGGGAAGTGAAATAAAGTGAAGTGACAAATGAAACGTTGTTGGTGTCGGTCTGTTTGTCATTGGTGTATGTGTCTCTTCACTCTTTACTACTGTATCTTGCCGTTTGCATTGTGTGTTCTGTTGCGTGATGTTGGGTGTAGCTGCCGCAATTGCCCAAAGTCCTTGTAGTTGTAGTATCTGCCGCTGAAGTTCCAGGTGCCATCATTGAAGACGCTTCCTTGGTACACGGGCCAAGCGAGGACCATCACTCGACATGTCCTGAACGCACGTCGTCAGGAAACCGTGCTGGCTGCTTACACCAAATCAGTTCAGCAGAAAGGTGTGATCCGGGGCGTCAGGGGAGAGTGCTGGGTGCAAGCACCTAACCAGGAGACAGGTGAGGTCAGCTATGGAGCGCTGACATTTGCGACTTTGTTTCTTGCAAATGATTTAAAAACAACGTTGTTTCATTTGTGAGTTGGATTTGGTTTAGTGTTTAGCTTCGTAATCATTCAATGCCATCAGGGGAAACACCTTTGACACACATATATATATATGTATACATATTGTTTAAAACATTAACAAACTGAAGTTCTGGAGCTTGCATTGATGTATGAATGCATGCATGCCTTACATTATTACATTATATATGTCTTTTTCTTTTGGTGGATGTTGGAATGTTGTTGTACCAGGGTTGGTGAACTATGAAGACTATAATATATACACCATATGATTGACCCTGCGACTCACGCGACGGAACATGCAATCTCAGGAGCGAAGCCTTTTACAAGGCATTTGAATCAGCAGACTGCGAAGATTATCCAAACCTCATGCTGACCGCGAAGTACGGATTGGATGTGCTTGTGTTTGATGCCAGGACTCCTGATTCAGTCTTGCAGTTCCTGAACTTTGCTAGCAACTGGTAAACTTTTTTGTTTTTTGTTTCTTCAAGGTTTCTTTCAAATCATTTCAGGCCTGTCCGTAGACATTGGCGCCCATAAGTATAGGGATAGAGGGTGTGAAGCTTCTCTAATGGTGTGTTGTTCATGGTTAGGTTCAGTCAGTTCATCATTCAATTGATTCATTTTGACTCGAAAGTTGAACCCCCATGATGTGTGAGTCACAGTCTGTGAGGATAACCTATCACAATGCCTTCCACCAGGGAGCACAGACTTCGTTCATGGAAATGATCCTCAAAGTTCCTGAGGCTGTGACCGGCGACCGGGTGATTCTGAAACAGATGTGGGTCTTCCAGTCTCTCAGGTTTTCTAGATTGATCGACTAGCGAAACAAAACCCAATCAACATCAAAAACTCAAAGTGAGTCAAAGAGTCAAGACTCGAGCAAAAGACTATTAGACTATTAGTAGAGTAGAGCAAACAAGTATGAACTTGTCAGCCTCACTGTGAGCAGTGAACACTGTTCAATGTTCAATTCTTTGTCAACACAACTCCCACACAGTCCCAGAAACTCACACATATGTTTTGTTCGCAAGATCGCATGTCGCTGTCGCATGATAACCACAAGTTTAGATTGACCAGGTTGAGCGAGCATGGGGCAATTTCAAGCTCGCGCATGGCATTTCCACCCGACAGTCTGATTACGAAACAAAATATCGTCAGCTTCTGGAATCTCAATTTCCTGCGACCTGGACAAGCTTCCGTCACTACGAAGCAACACGGGCTGTTTACAACATTGTCAGCAAGAGCGGTTGCCTGGCTGAGCTGAAAGCACAAGTGTCCGACCATTGTGACTTTTTGTCCAATGAACTGGCGCATGATTCTGTGATCTTTTGCATGAAAGAGATCCTGTCCGCTTTGCCAGCAGTCTTCAACATCATGTCGGAGCCAGAGAAGCAGGCAATCTTGCTTGAGGCGGCCTACTTGTGTGTCACTTGGATGTGCGTCGTACGTATTCCAATATATTAAAAGATAATAGTTCCAAAAAATTCTAAGTTCTAAGTTCTAGGTCTAGGATATCGACATATCAAAACATGTGTGTGTTATGTTTCGTTTTTGTCGCGGTGTCACAGTCCATACCGGGACATCACCATACCGGGACCATACCTTAAGGCTAGTCGGACTATCCATGACTATCCAATACTCCACTAGTAGTCCACTAGTCCACTAGCTCACTAGCTCTTGTAGCTTCACTAGTTCATAGATCTTCTGTGTAGTATAGTGGTCAGAACCTGGGGCACTTCGCTCTTGGCTGCGCGCTCGGCGCTCCATGACTGAGGGCTCAACTCTCCTCTCCGGGTCCCTTGCTTTTGAAACCATTGAAAAAAATCCAGACTCAAGCTGCTAAGATTATATATTATAAAGACCACTGGCTGTTAACATAGCATCTGCCACATAAGCTGACATAAGCTTATGTTTTATGTATGTACATCTATCTATACTTTACTGTTGACTGTGTCATTGATTAGGTTCCTTTCAACATTCCGGATATGCCCTGGTTGATCAAAAAGCCTGCGTCGGCATCTTCCGAGATTGTGATTGCCCTGACTCCTTTGGATGGAAAGGTGTTTGCAACGCAGCGGAAAGCCCGCAACCAGAAGGAGCAGCGGAAAGCCATTAAAGATCCACAGCAAGTTCTTGCGGAAGATTTGTCTGCCAAGGCTGCAAAGGAAGAAAAGAAAGCAAAGGCAGCCGCTAAGGCTCTAGCCAAAGGCAAGGGCAAGAGCAAGGGCAGGGGCAAGGCTACAAATCGCAACGGAGATGAGGTTGCTGATGCTACCAAAGAGACTGAGGAAGTTGTTGTGAATGGGCCTGATGGCATCGTCCTTTCTCGCCCCAAGCTTTTCTTGGACTGCTTGATCATGGCCATTCGGTCAGCGCTGAAAGCAGCACGCTCGAAGCATGGATTACCGCTTGACTTTGCTGCGTCTGAGAATGCAGATCCAGAGACGCCTTTCACGTACAGCGACATCGAGATTCCAATTTTGAAGACAAGTGTGCGTGCTGGTCTTCACTTTGCTTTGCAGAGTGTCCACATGATCAACGGAAAGGTTCACAAGAAGTGGTCCAGCTTGCGACCAGCACTTCAAGCTCAGATCATCTCGTCATATGCAGAGGCGCTGATGGACTGAGAGTATGAGAGACTGATAGAAAAAAGTTGAGTTTTGAAATGTTTAATCAGTACAACTGTAAAGATGCTGCGCTGCACTGCTAATGCTAATGCTATGTAAAAGTATATTTTTGTATGTTTTGATTTGTATCGTAATGACGGCTATGAATATGGATGATAGATATCAGTGTTAAGTGTTAGTGTTAACATGTTCCATGATCAGTTAGTTCAGTTCAGTTCGACTAAACCAAACGCCAAACAAACTTACATGCTTGGTCAGGCATTGAAGACGGTCAATACTTTGATTGTGTCTGGGGGCCAGGGTTCTTCTGACAACCAAACTGTGGCTGCCATCAGTGATGCTTTGATGACAGTGAGCTCTTCAAATGGTGCAGCACCGGCTGCTGGTGTGAACATGTCCGAATGGGCTGCGACTGGTTGGGAGCAATTGCTGGAAGGCTTCCTAGACTGGTTGTCAATGGAGAGTGCAGCTATGAAATGTGACAACCCAATTGCACCCAGCATCAAGAAATTGGTAGAAGGAGCAGAAGTCAACCAGCCTCTTGATTTGGGAGAGACCGTCATCAAGCATTTGGCATTCAACAAGATTTCAGAGGCATGGGATGCAACCTGCAGCTGCGGTGAGCACAGGACTGAGTGGGGTGTTGTAAACTTTCAACCATTTGAACCATCTGTTCAATCATCAAATCAGTTACTGTTAAATTTAGGTTTTGTTGATTGATACAGATTGGCTCAAGACTCTCAAGACTTTCAGAACGTTCGGTTCACTGTTCACGTCACTGCAATCGCGCAAGGACCAATGCGGCAACGTGCCCCGTTCACCAACAAGATCACACAGATCTTTTGGACGTGGTCTTTCAGATTGCTCAGCTGGTTTGCTCAGAACTGAGGCCAAGCTTGGTTTCCCTGGCACTGAAGTTGCGGAAGTTTCATGCTGATCACAAAGGTGGCCATCCGGATTGCATCATGAACCATGAGAAGGGCGATGTGCTGAAGGAGCTGTTGAAACCTGGGAATGTCCTCAGGTTGACCAGCTTCAGATCAGAGTACATGATCCAGCAGTTTGCAAGAATCTTGGGCCACCGCTCGGAGTTCAAGAAGATCGACTTGGTTACCAAGATCAAGGCACATCGCACATCATTCTATCAGGTTGATATGACTTGTGGCATGGTGGAGGCTGATGTATTCGCTTCTGTCTATGGTGCTGCTTTGTCATCTCTGGTCAAGAACGGATCTTTCAGGATTGACGACGTTACTGACTCAATGCCCACCAAGGCTGCTGAAGCAGCCACCGCCACCGCCACTAGCAAGACATCAAATGGCTCATCATCTGTTGAAGGCACCACGCTGGATGAATCTGGGGTTTCCGTGAATTCTCAACAGCGTCTCAGCGAGTTTGGGATCCGGATGGACTATGACAATGAAAATGACGTGTCCACACAGTTGAAGTCCGCAGAGTCTTTGTTTGTGTTGAGGGCATCAATGATGGCGCAGATTACAGAACAATGCAGGAGTGTGTCACAGTGTCAGAGAGTGTTACTACTAGCGCTGTACACTGTTCTTTTCAAGCTTGTTTTTGAAAATGAGTGCACTTTATTGGTGTGCTGCAACCATGAACCATGGCAATGATCCATATGCCATATGCCAGATCTTTTTTCAGTTCCAAATAATCGTAGTAACAAGAATAACGTCATAGCTCTCCTAGGTCGCAAGTCATAGAGTCATGAGTCATAGTCATATTGTAGCAGTAGCATTTTCCTTTGCAGGACTATGGATGCCCAGAGCGGATCTGCCAAATCCATTTTCTTTCATGTCCGTCGGCTTGAGAAGGGAGACAAGGTGACCACCACAACGGAAGTATTGCTTGAGCTCCCATTCAACGAGCATCTAACCTCCATCATGGATGACATGAAGCAAGACGAGCCAGTGAAGGACATGTTGCGCAACGTGATCTCTGACGAATTCCGAGTGTCCTTCAAAACCCACTACTGGGGTGAAGTGTGTCATTGGACTGCATTCAATCATTATATGTTTACTTCTACAGTAATCAGTAATTATCAATTATCATAATATATGTATCAAAGAATCAACCATAACCATTGCCAAATAGAATCATAACTGTGAGTCACTACAAACACATACAAAGAAGCAAATCTGTCACCGGTCAATTCGCGTTGGTGACGGCGCGAAGATAATGCCGGGTTGCTTAATGGTGCATTGCCTCCTCTGACTCAAGGTACACATTCGCCAAACTTTCCAAACCAGAAGCTGCCAAAAGTGATCCACCACCTGCAGTTCATCGCCAAGAACAAAGATGGTACACCAATAGGCAAGGTTTGCTAAACTGGAGTCTACTGACTGGAGCTTTTATTAGCACATGTATTCAAAGATTCAAACACCTATGCCCTCAGTCTTTATGTATTTCGATTGAGTGTGTGACTGTTTACAGTGTTACTGCGAGCATGGGATGGGATGAGACTGTCTCAAACAACTTTCAACATAGGCTCAACAAGCTAGCTTACAGTTACAATCACATTAACATCATTTGAGTTCTGAGTTGCAGTCATGCCCAAAAATATATATTGCCTGAGGAGTTCCGTTGATTGTGGACAATGAGAAGCCGGTCCCTATTTCCTTTTGGCTGTCAGGTCTTCACTGCAATTCTACAGATGGTGAAGTTGTTTGCCCAGCCTGGATGGTGCCGCCCAGCGAAGTTGCACACCCTACCTTGGTTTTGGGCCAAGATGATGCTGTGAACATGTTCAAAGAGATCAAGTTCAAGGGTGTTCCCATCCTTTACAGCACGACCTTCTTGAAGTTCAACGATGAAGAGGAGACACCAGTTGTGGTCAAGCGGATTGGTGACAAGATATATGCAGTCCTTGTCCGCGAGCATTTGCCACATGTTGAAACAAATTGAACATATGTTTCCAACTTGCCAGTTGTGATTTTGTGTTTTGGCCATATATATTTGTCAACATTATCAACATTTATTTACATCATTTATAGATTTATAGATGTTGTTATGATGTTATATTTGTTATGTTATGTCAATTATGTCAATGACAATGTCTACAACAAAATCTTGATGTTTGGTTGTGGCCTTTCTTAGCCATTTGTCCATTTGTTAGTACTTAGTACTTAGACTAACTACCACATCGGTCCATCGGTCCTGGATTCCAGGACAATTGTAACGCAAGGCCATTGACCATTGTGGACCATTGTAGACTCTTGATTATCTTAGGCCCTATGAAGACTGCAAAGGATCCAAGCGCGGAACAAAGCGAGCGGCTGATGCTGTGGCTGTGGCTCCTGCTGCGGCTGCGGCACTTCCACCTCCCAGCCAAGTTGTCCTTGGTGGCTTGGGGGCGCAGCACGCGAAGACGAATTCGAAATCATCTGATGGGTCAAAGCGTGCTCGTGTGAATAAAAATGCGAGACATTTGACTGGCTAGGACAGCTAGGATAGAACCATAGTTCTTTTGTTGTGAGGGGCAATGGATCTATGATGACTCCTGGCCCTGTGATCGAGCTTCAACCTGAGAGTTCTTTTACAATGTGTTTGAATCAACCTTTCCAATACCAACGCCAATCCAATGAACAAGGTTTTTTTTTTGCAATGTTCCATTGTTCTCCCTGTTTCAAGTTGCATCCATGAGACTGTCACGTGTCTT